CATGCTGAAATTTATAATACATGCATGTTCTCCACGGATGTGAGTTACGTTAGTACAACTTTTTACCGCAAAAGCGAAGATTGAAAACCCTGGGAACGAGAGTGACTTTTGATGATAAAAATATAAAATTTATGTACTAATGAAAAAACAATATTTACTTGCTTCCCTCATTGTTTGCTAACATCGCGTCGGTGGTATAGTGGTGAGCATAGCTGCCTTCCAAGCAGTTGACCCAGGTTCGATTCCCGGCCGACGCAGTTTTTTTTTCTTTTGTCTGATTGAGGGAAGAACTGGGAAAACTAAATCCTGAGATGCTGGGTTTTTTATGTTATGCAATTTTTATCTTTTTGCAATGGCGAAACCTCAGGAAACCTCAGAAGTTCTCCTAAAACTAAATTTTATTGAAATAACATGGCGATCCCGTTTTGCACTATAGCATTGACAAAGTGGACCATCCATCGATGTTTTTACTCAAGCTGCTTTAAATTCAGATAAAAGAATACTCACCTCAAGTAATCTCAGATTTAATCGCACAAACTGTACAGGGTCCCATTGTGTAATAATTAGCACTCTGGACTCGGTGGGACCTAGTTACTTGATATTTTTTTTCTTTTTGACCTTTTATAGTTTCATTTTGAAGTTAAAGAAGGGTATACAGAAGAATAGAATATAAAAGTGTTGGCAGATTTTAATATTTTAGAAAATCTGACCTTCAATGACTCGGATTTTTTTTCTCTTGCCTTTATTGTCAACCAGAAATTCAAATATAGTGTAGGCAATCAGTTTCAACGCTAGCCCTAGAAACGTGTTTTAATAACCATCCATGTCCTCAAGTCATTGTCTCCAAGGTTTTTTTTTTAACTATGCATCTGTCTGCCAGCAGTTGAAGTGCTAGTTGCTAGCTATGCCGTTATCGCCATTTCGTATTACTTATTGTCTTTTTAGCACGCACATGTTTTAACGAGATTTTATTTCTCCTAAATGTTGCGTGGGTAAATAAGGGATTGTTGTTGTTGTTGTTTTACGATTCCCTGAAAGCTATCTATGAGTATCAGTAAGTTTAAAGCAACGGGGTTTGGTTTTTACGACGCAAGTATTTTTTGTGTGCGTGTTGGCATGCAAAAGCAGAAACATTTGACTCTTTAAGTTGTTGAAAGCAACTGGGTAAAGAGCATAGAGCAGCGAGACTTGTTTTTCCGGGTTTATTTATCGTTTTGTTTTCCATTTTCTGGTGTAAGGACAGAATTATTTTTATCAGATGCAGTGCAACGAATGATTGACTCTTCTAATTTTTGCCATTAATCAGCTGTTCTATTATCTTAAAGTGAAAAATAGATTTAATTGTAACGCTATTGTGGCTCAATAGTTAATTTAATCAAAAAACTGCTAATACGTCACAGCTACGTTGTGCACAATTTTTCTGATCTACTGAATATCCTGGACAATACACAGCTGAGTTCGTCACAGAAGCAGATGACCTCTCTGCTTACAGTTTCTTGCTTTTCAATACCATTAGTTATTGTGCAGCTTTATTTAGTTTGTTTATTTATTTATTTATTTATTATTATTATTTTTTTCATCATAACCTGAGTTTTCTAGAAGACTTGAACACGGCCTGAGTTTCACAAGTTTGCAAATCAGATGGAGTATTTACAACACATTTTTATGCTTATAAACATTGAAACACTGATTTTACTTTCCTTATGATTTCTTGTTTTTCCGCCCTATCTATGCACACGGTCCCATGGTGTAAAGGTTAGCACTCTGGACTCTGAATCCAGCGATGCGAGTTCAAATCTCGCTAGGACCCTGTAGGAATTTTTTGTTTTGTTTTGTGAACATAGCAGAATAAACTTCGTTTCCGTCATCTGTTTTTTATTTCTGTCTTTCAGTTTGGGAGTTCTTTATCGAGTGCTTTGCAGGGTAACTTTCTCCTTTTAATTTCTAATTAGATTATGAGCTCGAGATTCCTATCACGCATAGAAATCAAGAGCGAATAATCTAATTGTTTTAATATAAATCTACTAATTGTTCAAAACTTTACGCTTTATCCGCTTCACAGACACTTGGAAAACGGAAAGAAGTTGACGCCATCTATGGAAATTAAATTATCAATTGAATTATAAAGTATTAAAAGATATCAGTGTTTGTTTCATAGTTTAAACTCACCCAGTTATTCCGTCATTAATACAACTACAAACTTTTTAAGTAAAACAAAAACAAAGGACTGAAAGTACAACATATCAGAAGGATTCCAAGTTATCCCATATAATTAGGTCCCACCGAAATTTGAACTCGGATCGCTGGATTCAGAGTCCAGAGTGCTAACCATTACACCATGGGACCCTGCATTGACTGTGATGAAATTGTTAGCATATTGAAATTTACGTCAAGCAAAGGCAAATCGGGACCGGCATGCTATTTCAATAGAATTTAGGTTTAAGAAAACTGCTGAAGTTCTGAGGTCTGCTGCGGTGTTCGCCATGAGTTTGTAACTTATAAATAACTGTGAAAAAGGTATGCAAAAACATCCGGAAACTTGTTTGTGCTACAAATAAATGAAGGGAATGGTTGATTTAAAGTCAGATTGAAAATTATTACAAGGGTACTAATCACGCATTACGCTGAGTTTTTCTATTAAATCACGCATCACGAAGAATTTTTTCACCAATCACAAGTAACGTAAAAAGAAGTAAGTACATCGCCAATTTTACTTTCTCGACCCTAAAAGCGTCGTTAAAAGAAGAACTCTGCCGATTCAACCACAAAAATGCATCGTCAAATATGTGACCTTTCACGCGAAAACGTTCCTTATGGTATCCGTTCGAACGGCTGAATGCACGTCAAATGAACGAATAATTTGAATAACGATAGTCAATTTACTTGTTCCAAGATATCTTAAGACTACTTGGCTCTACATGAGTTGATAACCACTGAATATAAAGAGTAACGACTCTGGAAACGATTTAATGAAATGTAAACTGAGAAGGTAAATGTGAGAGATTCATGAGATGTGGGCTGTGTAGGTATATGTTGGGAATTAATACGATGAAAGCTGTGCAGGTATACGTGGGGGATTAATGAGATGTAGGCAGTGTAAGTATATGTGGGAGATTTAATGAGATGTGGGCTGTGTAGGTATATGTAGGGGATTAATGAAATGTAGGCTGTGTAGGTATATGTAGGGGATTAATAAGATGTAGGCTGTGTAGGTATATGTGGGGGAGAGATGTAGGCTGTGTAGGTATATGTGGGAAATTTAGTGAGATGTAGGCTGTGTAGGTATATTTAGGGGATTAATAAAAAGTAGGCGGTGTAGGTATATGTAGGGGGTTAATGGGATGTAGGCTGTGTTAGTATATGTGGAGGACTAGTGAGATGTAGGCTGTTTAGGTATATGTGGGGGATTAATGAGATCTAGCTATAGTCTGTGCAGGTATATATGCAGCGGATTAATGAAATGTAGGCTGTGTAGGTATATTTAGGGGGTTAATGGGATGTAGGCTGTGTAGGTATATGCGGAGGACTAATGAGATGTTGGATGCGTAGGTATATGTAGGGGAATAATGAAATGCAGACTCTGGGGGATATATTCAGGGGATATTAAGAGGTGTGGTTTAGGAAGAACCCTTGATTATATATTTAGGGGGTATTGTTTTATGAGAGATTAATAGAGATGTGTATATTTTAGTGGAGTGAACTGACCGCCCAACCATCCAGGTGGTGTCGCACTTATAAAGCGAAAGAACAAAAGGCTTGGCTGTGAGCCAATGAAAAAACACTGACGTCATAGCTAAACCGGACAAACGAACTCCTGACACCGGCTGGATTTGATTATTCAAAATGGCGGACATACCTCAATTTAAGGCTATAATATGCTAGTTGGCCAAACATTCTTTAGATGCACGCTTGTGTTCTGTAACGGCTTTGTAATTTATGCTATACATACAGTTATATATTAAAATACGCGTTCGCCTTGTGTATCTTGAGTTACAGTAGCCAGATTAAGCCTTGATTGATGACGTTCGTTTAAGGTTCTGTCTGCCATCTAATATTACATGTTGCAGCGAAAAGGGTAGTAGTTCAAATTCGTCGACAACGTCTACCGTCTGCAAATGACTACGAGCAAAAACAACTTCCGGTACCTCGCCGCCTAAAACATCACAATTTTCAATGTTATTCCACCAGATATCATTGTTTCTGCAACATTTAGATTTGAGGTCAATTAAGTGGTGAGATCTTCGAGAACTGAAAGCTATGGAAACAGAATACTGTAATGATTACTTGGTTTGGAGCAGGAAAGCCCTGAGTATCAACTCGCCAAGTTCAAGGACGTTGTTGATGACGATGGCCTTTAAGTATTCAAAGCCTTAAGCTATACTGAAGAAGAAGATGCAAACGATTGCCGGTGTAGTAATGGGGAAGATGAAAAGGTATTGCATCAGCGAAGTAACGTAAATGAGATTGTTTCAGCTAGAGGGAAAAACTTCCTACCGAAACGCTCGACAACTTATTTAAAAAGAATTAAAAGAACCTTGGAAAAGAGCTGGAATTTATATGAGTTTTTACGGTTTTTATCCAATGCTCTCATCTGCGTTCGATTGGTCTTGGGATAAAACATGAGCAAAGCACAAAGCAGCCACTTAGGATGACAGACCCCACGTTAAACAAGTGTATCGATATTCCAGCATCCGGGATGCAAATATAGGAATCTTAACTATGACGACAGCGACGCCGAGGACAACTCCTGGTAAAATTGAATTTGTCCAGGATGGCTATGGCTATGGCTCTAAAACCTCGCTCAGGCTACACATATGCAATGAAAGCGTTTAATTCTAAATGGAAATACGAAAAATTAGCAGTTCGACTCATCGTTCGTGTTCGCGGTCATTTTACAGTGGACGGCTATGAAATGTACAGAGGTTTACTGAACTTACTTGTTTTGGTTTTACACCGGTTTGAGATTGGATTAGTGGTCTAATTGTTAAGTAATTGGTTTGGTTTTGGTCAAGTTACGACACTCAATTGAAAATGACTCTACGTATTAATAAAAATAATAAATAGTCTTGCGTTTGGGACGCCAAAATGTACACGGACTGTTTGAATCACAGTTGTATGCCCATCAGGTTCCACCGAGAATTGAACTCGGATCGCTGGATTCAAAGTCCAGAGTGCTAACCATTACACCATGTGACCTTGCACACCATAACTGAAGAAATTTGCCAGGTAATTTAATTTGAAAGTACACCTTTTTATAGGAAAATATAATTTATATCATTCAATTAAGCTAAACTGAAGAATATGTTCTTATCTTATCCCTTATTAATAATGGTAATTGAACTGAGTGGAGTGCTATTTGGTCTGAAATCATGCGCGTGATTGCAAAATCGAACGAGCGCGTAGCGCGAGTTTGAGTTGAAATCACAAGTATGGTTTCAGACCAAAATTGTACGACCCGAATTTCAATTACCACTTTATTACATCCATTTTGAAATCGCACAATTTAATAGCCCAGTACCAGTATTTATTGAACCAATAGCCGGTTTGTGTAAAAGCGGAACCGGAAACGCGTTTACATCTCATTTTGAAAAGATGAAGACTTACATGTCAATGTGTCAAAAACTCATTCGAGCGGAACGAAGGAAAAAGACGTTCCATCTCAAGCGGTTAAAATGTGCTCAAGTCATTAGCAAAACAAAACAGTCGACTTGAAAGTTGAATCTTCGTCGTCCGACTCAATGATGTAAGCCCTTCGTAATCGTTTCTTCTGTGGTTCTGACTTCTCACTGACGTCTTTGGAGTAGAAATTGAACGTGCAACCCGTGTAACTCAACGATGGAACGGGGCTGCCAGAAGAAGTGAAGGCTGTCATGCGGTACTGGAACTGCGAAGGAAAGCTTGGTGGAAATCCGCACCATCCAGTTGGCTGAAAACCAGGATTAAAGCCCATGATTGCCTGATGTATTTGGCCATGTTGTTGGTGAATAGGAGCCAGTGGTGCTCGTTGGCGTTGGACTGCAAGTGCTTGATGTGAGGCTTCATTTGCACTGGTTTGGTTGGAGACCTCGTTTGGACTTTTTTCGTTATGCCCTTCTTTATATCGGAATNGTTAAAATCATTTCTGGTCGTCTTCGTACCAATTGAAACCAAGTGACTTAAGAGCGGTTAAGAGTGTCGAAAGTAATCAGGTAATTACTTTGGTTTTAGTTTTTGTTTTACTACGGTTTGAGATTGGATTAGTGGTCTAATTGTTAAGTAATTGGTTTGGTTTTGGTCAAGCTACGACACTCAATTGAAAATGGTTCTATGTATTAATAAAAATAATAAATAGTCCTGCGTTTGGGACACCAAAATGTACACGGACTGTTTGAATCACAGTTGTGTGCCCATCAGGTCCCACCGAGATTTGAACTTGGATCGCTAATTTTGTCTGATTGGGGGAACAACTGTAAAAACTGAATCCGGGAATGTTGGGCTTTTTTCATGTTATCCCATTTTCATTTTTTTCCAAACAAACAAACAAACAAACGTTATCTGACGCTCATAGCTCCTGGTACAGTTAATATTCAACATTAAAATAAGAATTTTAATCTTGCCTTTGTAGTAAAGTTTGAGTCAGACTTGGAGCCCTGTCGAGAGAAAGTTAAGCTATAGCTTATAATTTGACTTTATATTTGGTACATACGAAACGCAAACGAGTCAACAGTGTCGCGGAAATGAATGTTTCTCAAAATTGACTGTTTTCCTGGCGCGCAAAGGGAAAACATTCGCTACATAAGCAAAAGGAATGTAAAAAAAATGAAAATTCGTTTGTGTTACAAATAAGTAAAGAAGTGGTTTATTTAAAGGTAGATTAAAAAATATTACCTAAGCAGTGTCATTTCTGTCGAATATTCGTTGCTAAATAAGAAATTGAGATTGCAGTCCTGGTTTGTTCACTGACCGCAGCTCGATTACTAAAACTAGCCCTAAGATTTATAAATTAGAAGGATTGGTATCAAGACCGCACCGAGATTTGAACTGGGATTGCTGGATTCAGTGTTCAGAGTGTTGAGCATTATATCGTAAGACCTTTACACATGAGGAGCACAAATGTCTCATACATTGTAGCGCTAACATATTACAGTTTTTCATCTCTTGACATAAAGATTGTTATGCTATTTTCATAAATATGGAAGACTCCGTGGAAATGCACTCTTTCACAGGCCTTGTTAAAATTTAGGCAAATAATGTTATTTCTGTTCGTCTTCCTACCAATAACACCACTGGAGTGACTTCAGAGCGGTATCCATTTAAGGGTCGAAAGTAATCAGGCTATTGCTTTGGTTTTAGTTTTGGTTTTACTCCGGTTTGAGATTGGATTAGCGGTCTAATTGTTAAGTAATTGCTTTAGTTTTGGTCAAGTAATGTTACGATACTCAAAATAAGAAAAAGTAAATAATAAAAAGTCCTGCATTTGGGGCACCAAATTAATGTACACGGACTATTTGAATCGCACATGTATTCCCATCAGGTCCCACCGAGATTTGAACTCGGATCACTGGATTCAAAGTCCAGAGTGCTAACCATTACACCATGGGACCTAGCATACGATAACTGCAGGAATTTGCCAGGTAATTTGATTTTAGGAAATAATAATTTATATCATTCAATGAAACTAAACTAAAGAATTCGATATTTTCTTGTCTCTTCCTTAAAGCGAAACTCAGTGGACAATAATTTTTGTTACAACCAGTATTCTGTTAAGACCCCTCTGACTTGCGTGTTCGTTTCTAGTTTATTTGAAACTGAGGCAAGTTGACTAGCGTGGATCTTTGTAAAAGCAAAGTGAGAGGAAATTGCTGACACTAGACATCACTTGTTCCTACCAAGTTCAACGCCTTAACGTTCACAATCAGCGTTTAGAGCAGTTCACCCTTATATAATTTGAAAAAAACGTTTATTCATTATTTACAGTTGTATATAATAAACTACAGATTTATGGCGAAACCTTAGCAAACCTCAGAAGTTTTCCTAAAACTAAATTTTATTGAAATAACATAGAGGTCCCGTTTTGCACTATGGCATTGACAAAGTGGACCATCCACCAGCGTTTTATTGAAGCTGCTTTTAATTCAGATCAAAGACTATTCACTTGATGTAATTTCAGACTTTTTTAACAAATTGTTGTAATGATTGGCGTTGTGGACTCTGAATCCAGCGATCCGAGTTCAAGTCTATTTGGGACCTGGTCACATGTGATTTTTTTTCTCTCTCTTTTCGATATTTTATAGTTTCATTTTTTTAAAATTTTCTGTCGAAAAATGTCGATCCAGAACATTTTTGTCCGGGGTACTAAGAAGTTTAACTGAATAAAAAGCTGCTGCCAGCTTTTAATATTTCAGATAATCTGACCTTCATTGACTCGGATTTTTTTTCCTAATGCCTATGCTGACCACCGGATATTCAAATATGGTTTAGGCAATCAGTTTTAACGCTAGCTCTAGAAACGTTGTTTGATAGCAATTCATGTCCTCAAGTCATTGTCTCCAACGTTTTTTTTAAACTATTCATTTGTCTGCCAGCAGTTGAAGTGCTAGTTGCTACAATCGTGGACAGAAGTCCTTGGGACACTTATGTAATTTAACGAATTATCTGTGTTTTACTACTGAAGTTTGAAAAAAGCGCTGCTTTCCTTTTGAAAACGCGTTACTGTCCCCCCTCCCCAAAATCAGAAGAAATTGCAGGTGGTAGTTTTCAACATTGTATGGGGAATGGGGGGCGAGGTTAGGCAGGTGAAGTAGTATTTGCGTCTGGCGTGTGGGCAAAAGCACCAAAAGTGCAAATGTGTCCCAAGACTTTTGTCCATGATTGTAGTTATTCCATCATTGCCATTTTGTATTACTTATCATCTTTTTAGCAATCCCCTGAAAGCTATCTATGAATATCAGCAAGTTTAAAACAACGGTGTTTTGTTTTTACTCTTCTGCTTTATATTTTTAATGTGAACAGGGCTAGGGACCCATGGACCCTGCATTCTATGATGAGTTCATATCTTGGTGTGACCTTCCAATATCAGCAATTTAAAATTTATTCACCTTTGAAAAGATATTGCCCTCCTCAATATTTGCTTACATCGTGTCGGTGGTATAGTGGTAAGCTTAGCTGCCTTCCAAGCAGTTGACACGGGTTCGATTCCCGACCGACGCAATTAACTTTTTGTGTCTAAGCATGAAAAAAGCAGAAAAAACTGACTTCTTGAAGCCGTTGAAAACAACTGTGAAAACAACATAGAACAGCAAATCTTTTTTTTTTTTTTGTAATTGGGTGTATTTATCGTTTTGTTTTCCAGTTTCTGATATAAGGACAGGATTATTTTCATCAGATGGAGTGCAACGAATGATTAAACTTAATTTATTATTTTAATGTTTGCTATTAATCAATTCTATTATCATCTTAAATTAAAAGATAGATTTGTAACGCTACTGTAGCTTAGCAGTTGATTCACTTAGAAAACAAAACTGCTACTGATTCGCCATAGTTACGTTGTCTACAGTTATTCTGATCTATCGAATATCTTGGACATTGCACAGTTGAACTCGTCACAGATGACTTCTCTGCTTACAGATTCTCAGTTGCTTTTTGGTACCAGTAGTTACATACTTCTTACTAACCGAGTTCGAGGGCCGTACTGTAAGTTACGGACCGAGTTTTTTCCCCATCGACTTATGGCCCAAGCGCGAAGCGCGCGAGCCGTAAATCGAAGGGGGAAAAAACGAGGATCCGTAACTTACAGTACGGACCGAGAAAACGAGGTTAGATATTTATTATATCTCTACTGGGTTTCTGACGGATTCGGGAACGATTTCTATTCACAAACAACGGTTTTAAATTTCTGACGCACCTCTAAAGCTAAGCGAGTCAATTTGAGATCGTTAGTAGGTTTTGATACACAATTTCAGAAGTAAAAGAAAGTTTTAAACTTTTACCTACTAAAAATTTTAAGAACAATTGGCGATTTTGGCAACAAAAACAGCTTTCAATTC